ATAGCCAGGGAAAGCCTCCTGGGGCAGCCAGGAAGCCACACTACCAACATTCATTAATTCTTCAGACCAAAGCAGCAGAAAGGAGAAAGCACCTTCTCCTGCACAACAGCTGGTTCTTCACACCAGAAGACGTCGTTCCAGCCCCTGCTTGGCCACAGCATATTTCAGTCCCATCATTTCCACTGGTCCTCCAATACTCCATATGAAGGAAGATACATACTTCTTATTTTATTTGCACAGGGCAATGAAGGCCAGCCAGGCTGCAGACACTGGACACTACCAAAGTACGTACCAAATAAGTACCCAGCCAGAAAAGTTCTTCAGAGGCAACTTCCTTGGCTTAAATGCTCCTCTCCCTTAAAAAGTCAATAAATAAATACAACTCATTACTCACAAGATGAGTGGGTGCACGCTCTTTAACAGTGGACCAAGGTCTGATCTTGTGAAGTGGTTTAAATGCATGTGGAAATCTGTTTTCAAAACCTACCATCTTGAGACTTTGTGATGCTCAGAAAACTTCTCCCAGGCATTCCAAATTCAAATCCTGAAGTGAGAGCTACATGAATAGTTGTACAAGGTAGATCTTTTTTTAAAAAGAACAGAGTATGACTGCAGCATAGGTGATTGCAGAGCAGATAAGGCAAAGTAAATCTGGAAAGGTATTTTTCAGGACTTGCAAAATACTGCAAACATGTTAGGCCAAAACAGAGACAACCAGACTAACCTCCTGAACCTTTATGATGTCCCACAAATACAAAGAAGATTAAGTGGAGATTTCTGGAAATTCAAAAACCAATTTGCCTGACTAACTTTTTACTCGTGTAAATTAAGGAAAAAAAAAAAAAAAAAAAAAAAGAAAAAGAAAACCACCACTGTATGGAAACCATGAGTGTACTTCCACGTGCTGTTTGGAAGCTGAGCTTGTAAATATAGAAAGGTCTCTCTAATGGAAAGACACAACTGAGGCTTACGGCAGGCCTAGTTATTTCTCTACTGATACTCACAGAATTATAGAATGGTTTAGGTTGGAAGGGACCTTAAAAATAAACTAGTTCCAACTTCCTTGGCAAAGACACCTCCCACTAGATCAGGTTGCTCAAAGCCCCATCCAGCCTGGCCTTGAACATTTCCAGGAAGGATTCACAGCCTTTCTGGCAACTTGTTCCAGTGTCTCACCATCCTCACAATAAAGAATTTCTTCCTAATATCTAATCTAAATATACCCTCTTTTAGTTTGTTACCCCTCATCCCATCCCTACACTCTGTGATAACAAGTCCCTCCCCATCTTTCCTGTAGGTCCCCCATTTTGTACTAGAAGGCTGCTATAAGGTCTCCTCAAGGCCTTCCTGTGAGGACATTAGAATACACAGTGTTAGTGCTTTACACCATAGGAAAAATACCAAGAGATGTTCAAAAAAGAAAAATCTTCCATTAAGAAGGGGAGACTGGGAACTTTATGGCACCAGCACATTGGCTCTGCCAGCACATCTGGCACTGCTTATTCTGATGGCTATACATGCAAGGGGAAAAAGTTTAGTTCTTGACTTTAAATTCCCATGTAGCTTTTACATCCCTGTCATAATCAGTGCCTGCAAACATGAAGGTCATCTCACTGAGGCTGCCATTTCTACAACCTTTCATCCACACAGAATATACGGAGAGCCTCACTTTAATTCACTGTGAGATATATATATATATATATATATGTACGTGCAGGGTTAGATGCATTTTATATAAACACTGCCACCACTTTTATGACAATCCAGCTGAAGTCCAAGACAATTCTGCAGCCCATTTCAGCTGGTGACTTAAAGCTCTAGAATAAAATGTTCCTGAGAGCTGCTCTGTTGGAGGACTCAATCATGCAGCATTTCTGTCTTGGGATGCTTTCTCACCCCACACAGTGCTCATGGCTCCCAGGAACTGACAGAAATACTCAGCACCATGTACCAGTCAACCCTTCCAGACTGCAGAAAAGCTCTGTTACTGTACAGCATGGAGGATGCCCCAGCCAAATCAAAGACAAAAGTCACAGCAGTGACTGTTTCCAAAGCAGCCAGGCCCAGCAGACACACTGGAGGGTATTAATGCATCTAAACTCCTGAACTTATTTCAGGTACTGAATTAGGAGGCCAGGTTCTTTCAGTTCTCAGTATAGGTGGTGGTAAGGGATAGAGGCTCTTCAAGGTGCTAGGAACCCAGCATCTGTTCCAGTGTTACCAGCTCACAGAATTTTATCACAAGCCTACAAAGTATTTCTGAACAGCCTTCTTTATTTAAAACTAATAGCAATGTCACAAACCCAGTGTCTCAGAAGAAAACTTCCAGAAAATTGTGTTGCACTCCAGAGGCTCAGGAAAAGAACAGGAATCTATAATTTTTTCAAAATGTAAATAATCTCATGGATTTTCTTGGAGAGGAGATGAGTGAGGGGGCTGACTTTTTTTTTTTTTTTTTTTTTTTTTTTTTAAAATACATGTAGCTTGCTCTACTGTATAAATAAATCAAACCCCTAGCCACAGAGCTCCATTTTTCCAGTCATAGCTTGTTGTTTTATTTTTTTCCCCTCTGTTGCTGACAAATCACTCCAGGGAGTTTTTAAACCCAGTAGTCTACTTTCCGAATGGAAACGATTAGTATCATTTGTGAGAGAGAAAGCAAACAACAACAGAGACTTACCCCATTTTTTGGGTAGGCTATCCATCCTAGATCCCCCATTACTGTGCGTGAGTCCAGTAAATTCACTGAAAATTAGAAAAAGAAAAAAAAAAAAAAGAACTGTTAAGGAAGATGGATGGATTGCAAACTTCAGTAAATACTTCAGGGTTTGGGTGGCTACAGTAAACCATGGCATGTTGTGGTCTATAATTAACCAAGGAAGTTGGACTTTTGTAAAGCAGAATAACAATGCAATATCTCCTCTAACAATGAGGTCATATTGCTGAAAACCATTTTTATGTATGCATTACTTTATTCCTTTGAGATCTGCCACTGAAACCAAGTTGTATATGCACTAAACTTCTGTAAGATCCAGATCCTTCATTGCCTTAGGATCTAGTCTTTTGGGGGGAATAAACACATAAATAAACACTGTGTGTTTATGTATATATGCATGATATATAGACTAGAGATATACATGAACACTCACATATCCATGTGTGTTTATGCATATATTTCTTCTAAAGTGGAATGCTTTTAACATAATACAGCCTTTAAGATGACAATGAAACAAGAAACAACATGTAGTTTACTGAGTATTGTTAATTCAATTTCCAAAATATTTTATGTGCAAATGTTACAGTATTGCTGTTATCAGGAATCTATACTTTTCTCCCTCTCCCACATTTTTCCTTAAGTCTTTGACAACTTCATTAAGTTAGATATATCTAACTCCATTAAGTTATATATATATATAAATATATATATCTCATCTTTATATATATAAATATATATGTATGTAAGATATCCAAGGGATCCCCCCCCCAAAGTTCAGAGTAGCATTGTTAAGTCACATAAGCAATTGATAATTTATGTTAAACAGCAATAAAACTATTCCCAAGCTTATAACAGTTTTTCCCCTGAAATACTGAGTAAAAAGTGTGAAGTAACTAAATCTACGCACACTTAAGTCAGCTAATAAAAATTATAGCAGCTTTCTGGTGCTGAGCTTTCACCTCCTGTACCCAGGGCTTTAAATCTCTACGTTAAAAGCCTGTCTCTGAATCAACAGCTGTCAGCCAAAACCCCAACCTAGGAGGAACTTTCTTCAACTTTAAAAGCAAACTTCCTTCTCTCTGGATTACACCACTCACCTCTCACTGTACATTTGTCTGCATAATATCTCACTTCCTGGAAAAGAAGGAAGTGACTGCCCTGGATCTTCAATTCCTGATCTCCACCCTAGGTGCTCCTTACAAATCCCACTGAAAGTTTTCACAAATGGTTTTTCAAGACTTTCCAGCCCAAGAACAAGCTTGAAAAAGGCAAAGGAGGCTTTCCACTCACCCCTCTAGAAAAGTAACCAGTCAGGTATTTAAAGATTGCTAGAGAAGAGAAACAAACATGCACAAACATAAAGGATGCAAGTATGATAACTCTCAACCCTAGAACTTATATCAGGCTGTCTCTGCACAGCCAAATATATCAGTGCAAACACCTATGAGGCATAAGGACCCCTCCTTACCCGAGCCCAGGTCACTCCACTGCAGACAATTAAGAATCCTGCCAGCTGAGTACATCAGCTATAAGGCTTACACTACTTACGGAGGCATAGAAAGAAAACCCAGAAATATACTATACTAAAAGGCATGCTCCTTTAAAATCTTAAGGAATATTTTAAAAAAAAATTAAGATTAAATAACAGATTTAGTTAAAAAAAAAAAGAAAAAAAAAACACCAACAACATTTCTCTGAGTCAGTTTGGTGTTAATCATCATACTGTACTGAAGGCTGACTGCTGCAGTCTTTTGTACACAAAACCAGCCCAAACCACAAAAAAAAACCCACAATGCTGAGGTAGAAAACAAACATTTCTCACCCCTAGCATCGAACACTTATGCTAAAGATTTAGCTGTCCAGATATTTTTATAAAGTATGCAAGTATTAATGCAGGACACTATCATAAGGCATATAGATGTTCTGCTTGGTTAAGTATATTTTCATGATGTTGAGCAAAAACATTTGGTAGCTCAGGGTTTTCATGCCTGGATTGCTTTCTCCTGCCAAAAAACAGTTGGGAGCTGGCAATGCTACCAAACTACAGGACATTTGGTGGAAGCAATTGAGACTATACTGAACTGTACTCACAGTAAGTAAACATACAATTAGGTGGCTTTCCGCCCCACAGTCTAAACAAAATAAAAGTACTGCTATCACCTGCCACTAGGTCTGTCACCCAGTGATGGCTCGTTTTTCCCCTCCTGAAGTCTTCAGGTAAAGTGCTCATTACTTTCTCCTGCTCCAGGTGAAGTCAAGCACTAGCACCCAAGTGCTCCTGAACCACACTGCATTTTCTATTTAATGGGATAGAGTGATCTTAAAATATTCTTCAAAATAGGACAAGTCCCATATCATAACCACATACTATTTTAAAAAGCAATAGACAGAAGCACAGTTGTCAAAATGGCAGGTTTACTCAAACTCCTTCTATTAAAATCACTATAATTAATCTGTGCCAAATGGAATATTCCTGTTGTAAGTTGCAATGGATGTAAAACAAGTATTGATCTAACTGTACAACTTAATTAAAACTTGTCCTGGAGATGCTACTAATGAATGTAATGAGATGCTGTGTTTGATGCCACAAACTTCTTCATGACATGCTCATTAAGGAAAAAGAAGAAAAAGTGCTTTTATTCAAACATCAGATCATAAAAAGAACATGATACAACTAAATATTGTATTATCTTTCTATCAATGACAATTTTTAAATTGCTGTTATTAACTTCAATTTCAAAATAATTTTCTGCATGTGAAAAGATAATACAACCCGTTCAACTCTAACTCAAGTCAGTGGGAATTTTCTTACTAGTGAGTCAGCCAGCAGAGCTGAATACTAAATCTCCAGTTAGACTCAATTCCTCCCTTACTTTAGTGGAATTCTGCACAGAGCAAAGCAAATAGGAGAGGAGAGGACGCATCATTTTACAGGCACCACACAGTAACCCAAAATTTCCATTCCCTGAAGACAAAAAAGCAGCAAGTGACTTGAAACTGCCCCTGCTCCCGGCCTGCTCGGACAGCTCTGAGGGGCAGCTCAGAGGACAGCTCTGTGCAAGGCACAGCAGACTCTCCTCCTGCCCCACAAGCACCTTCTAAAACACTGCACTACATCAGTCTGTTCCAAGGAACGTGTTTAGTCAGTAGTTACTCCAAACTGCCTGCAAGCACTGAAATGTTTTGTTTTGGGAATCCCCAAAGTTCTGGTATAAATACAAATTCCTATCGCTCCACCTAGGTACGAGGGAGCTGCATCTTTCTCATCAACATCCTACCCAGTCAGGGTCACTACATCTGTCCTTTACCTGCATCACTGCCACATCCCAACCCCACCCAGATTCAGCCTCCAACCAGGCCAGAGCCCCAGCAACTCCTCTCCAAGGGGGAGTCTCCTCCATTGGCCCAGCAGCACGAGCTCCCCGTGGAAGGTGACAGTACTGTGAACACTTTTAGGGCACTCTCTCAGGCAGCATTCCCATCCCACACTGTCAGAGAGGTCACCAGCACACTGTCCCACTACACAAGACCACACGGGCTCAGCACCATCTCTCCCCCACAACCTTCCAGTCTGGCAGAAATATTATTTTTGCTGAAATGGTTTTCATTAAAAACTGCAGATTGGCCAAGCTGGGAAAAGAAACAGTAGGCAAACGGCAGGTAAAGTAGGTACCTGTGACACAGAGGAAACCATTCCAGCAGGGACTTTATAGAAGGGCTGCCACCATTCCAAACGGAAGCTTCCAGAAGCCACCGTATGGCTACTTGAGAAGAAGCTTTTTTACACCTGAATAAAAACCCCTGAAACCATCTTCAGTCTGAGCCACAGCAAGACAGAGACTAGAGGTCTTCTTCAGAGCAACAGAACTGGTTCCTCCCCATCCAACATGTGACGAACATCAGCACGCAGTTGACCACAATTGTCTAATAACCAACTAACCTAAACACTCAGGTAACTGAAGGAAGGTAATTCAGAAAAACCTCCAACTATACACTTAAGACACACTTCTTCAAGAAGTCTAGTGCCAGCTCCTGGCACAGACTCCAAGACTAGTCCCAGTGCTGCAGGTAACCCAGAGTTGTATTCGCTAGCACTTGGGATGCAGGAGAGCCTACCCTGCTAAAGAAAAATCTCCAGAAATTGCTAATAACTCTGCTTGGCCCATAAACTTAAAAGCCTCCGAAATAACACAACTCATTTATTGCCACTTCCTTTCTCCTCAGCACCATCTAGGTATTGTCTCAGCAATCAAGGAAGAAACCTCAGAGCCCATAAGCACACACTTAGCACCTGTATCTTTGCCAGCAAACTCGGAAGAGGTACATACACACATTCAAAAATGTTTTCTGCTCATCTCCACCATCAGTGTATCTATCCCACAAGCCCTAATTATTTCTAATGCTCAGTCAAGGGGAACACAAAACCACACAGATCTATATCATCATTAACTTCCATGCCTTCAGGGTAGGATAAATGATGATTAAGTCTAAAGTCATACCACAACCTTTTTTTTTTTTTTTTTTTTAATACAGAATATTAGCACGGGGAATTTGCATACGCTCGTGTTCTCAGGCAGGCTGGTTACTACAGGTGAGCAATCAAGTTAGAATAAAACCAGACATGATCTAAACCTTTGCCCTGATCTCTAGCTGGTGAATTACCAGCATGTTTTCACTTGGGAATCTGACAGGGAGACTGGATATGGCTTTGCAACCCAACGTCCCTGTCACGTTTATACAGCTGGCATTCAGCAGCTTCACCACAGCTACACGGGATTATGGCTGGAAGGAAGCACCAGAAATGCCAGGGCTGATGCCATTCAGCACTGACCTAGCCCAGCGTTGCTGCCCACACAGCAGAGCACCCCATCTCACACAGCCACATTAGCTTGCCAAGGCAAAAGCAGGACAGGTCTGTCATGATGGTACAATGCCTGAAGTAGAAGCCACCAATCCACAGATTTTTGTGGTCACATCACCGAATTGAGATGGCTCCTCTGTCTCTGGCCAGAGACAGGATCAGCTGGAG